AATGTTTGTGGCAATAAAATCGTAGTGTTGAAGCAGCTGCCTGCCAAATTAGTACTCTGTCTTCGCTGTCGAATGCCTTTTCGAAATCGATGAAGTTGAGTTAAGGATTCAGTTGACTGGCAATGTATGCTTTGTTCTATGATGATGCGTAGCGTATTGTTGCAATTTGATTCACACATGGTTTTACTTCCTGAAGTCAGCCAGCCAGTCTGTTCTGGTAGTAATTTTGGATTCAGTGCATCTTTTAGTCGCTCCTGGATGATGCAGCTTAATGTTTTTCTTGGAATGGACAGGAGCATGATTCCGCGTCGTTCCTTGCGAAGACTTAGGTCTCCCTTCTTTGGAATTTTGACAAGGTAACTCCTTCTCCCGACCGATAGACATGTACCTTACCTTCTTTTGAAACCTTCTGCAGTAGATGTGTGAGCATGTCCGCTGTTGTCTCTGCGTCTGTTATCAGTGCTTGTGGTGGAATCCCATCTGGTCTTGCTGCTATACCGGATTTTAGCAACTTTATGGCGTTCAGGACTTCACTTCTACTTTTGTCGGAGGGCCTGTGTTCACTTGTAGTCCTGCCGTTGCCGGTGGTATTTCTGCACGAGTTGCAGGTTGTGGTCAATTCAAGAGTTTTTTGAAGTGGTCGACCCACTGTTTCCTTAGTTGCTCCTCTTTGCTAAATAGGTTTCCTTCACTATCACTCATTGGTATCATCTGCGTTGAGCTCTTCCCGGATAATATTTCGGTTACTTGATATATTGTTGTCAGGTCTCCTACCTGCAGCCTGTTCTGCTTAAGCTGCAGGTATGTCGTAGAAGTGTCTTTCGTCTTTGTGCATACCCTTCTTTACTTCTCTGTCCAGTGTAGTGTTTTATACATTGTACTCAGTTCGTCTTCTCGTTGTTCATACCTGTATTGCACTGCACTACACTGGTTCATCTTCTGCTTCACCATCTTCCTCTCTCTTCTTTATCACCTTCCATGTGCCTGTCGACATCCATTCCTCGTCTTCTTTCCTCTTCCTTCCTATTACGGTTATGCAGGTTTCTTCAAAGATCTCTTCCAGAGAATTCCAGTGTTCTTCCACGCAGGTTTCCTCGGGGACGTTGCTCAATGTCTCCCAGTTTGTCCTAGTGGATGACGTGAAGATATCCTTTTTAGTTTCATCCTTCAGTACAGTTCTGTTCTGGGTGTTGAACTTGATTTGTGGTCTATCACCAGCTTCTTTCAAGGCTTTCAACTTGATTTTGAAGGCAGGTTCCTTGCACTAGATAGTGAGTGGTGTGAACCTACATCTGCTCGTCTTCGTGATCTCATCTTGTGTCCAGTAGGCTGCGTTTCCACTTTCTTCATATTGAGAAGAAGTTGATCTGATTTTTAGTGACTTCTGGTGTCTGGTGAAATCCATGTCACTCGCTTTGTGAATATCCTTGTTTTTGTACACACTGCCTCCAATCATCAAGTCATGGAATGCTCAGAAATCTACAGACAGTTCTCCATTCTCATTCATCATTTCATCGAGTGTTTCTCGATCCATGATTGGTTCTCTTCTTGTGTTGTCCGCTCCCAGTTTGGCATTCATGTCACCCTACCTATTAGAAATTTGATGTCGCCAACTGGAGTCTTGTGTAGTAATGATTGCAGTTGCCTGTAGAATTCCTCCGTCTTTTCTTGATCTTCATTATTTGTAGGTGTGTAGCATTATATGATTGTGACTTTTCTTCCTTTGAGTTGAATCTTGCTGTCATGGTCCCGATGCTGGAGGAGATTGGCTCCCACTGCATGAGAGCCTTCGATGCTCTTCAAGGGGACATCATGATAGCCACTCAAAAACTCAGTGTGCTCATGGTTGTCGTTTGGGTGACAGTATCGTAGTGGATTATTGACTGCTCTCCAGTTGACAATTTAGAGAGTCCACTTCCATTCGATCTGCTTTCTCAGATTCCAAACACTTCCATGCCATACCTCCTCATCTCTTTTGCAATCTGGGCAGCCTTGGTATGTTCACATACGGTGAGGACATTCCATGTCCCCATTCTTACTTTCGCTTTCATCGAGAGAGAGAAGACACATCAGCTGACTGACTTCCCGAAGGCTTTCACCAACGGGTGTCATTTCGTCTCCTCGATTCCAGCGAGGAATAAGTTTGCTTTTATGTTCTATATTTTATTTGTGCCTTCAAGTTTCTTTAATGATTAGATGGTTTTTCTGGGGTAGGGTTACTTGTCCTATGCCCAGCCATCCCTCTTTATCCGGGTTTAGGACTGGCTAGTAACTAGTGTACTAGTTAATCAGGCGAGGTTCATTTCACGAAATAGTATGGGTATTATACAAGGTGACCAGTCGGAATCTGTTTCACTTCCAACTTAGCTGATGCCACAAGTCACAGCTTCACACGAGAACTTCAGGATATGCATCACAAACCGTATCACCAATGAACACTACACAGTAATTTAGCCTGAAGTACTTCATTGCGCACTACTGAGGAGCCTTACACTAGGGTCAAATAGCTGTTCAGCTGTCTCAAGTTTTCAATGGTTTTCCAACAGATGTCAGTCGATGATTAATACTGTCTTGAGATAGATGGGTGAGACATTGCCTCTTTTACCAAGTATCCCTTAATTATTTTAAAATTAGATATTCAAGGTATCTTTCATGTATTTTGTAAGAATTTATTTCAGTGACTGACTGAAGAAGTCTAATTGATGCTAAAAGTACTTACATCAATAATCTAATGTTGATTTTCAAAAGAAACGTTTGCGCACTTCAATTAGAAAATATTTGTTCAACATGCTTAAGTTGATGGACAGGGTTAATTATTCATTAGGCTTCGGTCTAATTGTCTCTATCATCGCATGATTTCGAGTTGATTCGTTATTCACTGGCCTCACCTTCAAGAGTGAAATGTTGTTGTCTGTTCCTGCTCAAATTTATTCCCGTAGATCATGAAATCGTTAAAAAAAACTGGGAAGACGGAATTTAAACTCGTCTGAGAATAGACAGGAAATAATCTAGAACCCAGTCAATGAGCAGTTGAAGCATCTCCAATGAAGTGACTGATGCTTTAATACACGGTGATACAATCGAATACATGAATGGGTAATAAGGGAATGGAATAAGTTTGTCGTTTCCACAATACCGTTCTTCTATACCATACGGTTACTGTAACCGTACATATGTCAGACAACAAAAAGTGAATACTAAATTGTGGATGAAGATCGCGCTGTACTGTGAACTGACGGTAACGTACCAGCCAGCGAACCTGAAGGTCTTGGGGCCATTCCACACTGGGCTTATGAGTGAGGGCTGCTGCGGATTCCCGTACTAGGACTAAACAGCTGTCCAGTGCTCCCAGGTTTCAAATGGTTCTTCAAATGATGACAGTATATGATAGATACCAACTTGTAATCTCCACAAACCTTCAAACTGAACTAATTGTATCGTTCATCGTTTGAAGATAATTTCAGTCCGAAAATGACATAAGATAAGCGAAAACTAAGAGTCAGGGATGACAGTATAACTATTTTATGCTACTTCAGGTACTCAAACTAGTGTAGACCCAGGTGTCAGACAGAATAAAGTTCTTGAATTTCGGGCGTTCAGGAGATCACGTTACTAATGAGACTATGAGTTACAGTCAGGTGGTGTGTATTTTCTGTCTCCAGTTAATTTTGGATACAGTACGACATACTGATTATGTCACCGACAGACACCTCTTCTAAATCGTGATTTGTTGTACCATATGGGTAATGGTCCTATACTAAAGCTTTGAAAGATTTATATCACAGGAAGTAACTGTCGAAGAGTGATCTGCTATTCTGTTGACTGGTTTGCAGGGAATCAATGATTCATGAGAATAAATTATGAAATATATAGATGAGTAGCTTCCAGCTTACATGAATATTACTTCACCGGTTATTTACAACCAGGAATTACCTGGTAGTTACTTTTTTCATTTACAAGATTAGTTGGCCGCAGATATGAATAACCTCCATCTTCACCGGGCTGTAGGAATATCCAGCTGACGAATCCTAAACAGGACGAAACGCGCCTCCTGTATTCCTCTGCTAGCCACCAAACAGACCTCATCCTAGTCGACTCACAAACAATTTGGCTACCTAAAGTAAAGTTAAACCTTTCTATAAGTGAATATCGTAATAACTGACACCAATAAAAGTTATGTGTTGTGTAGCAGATGAGAAATCATGTACGATGTGAAATAAAAATCTGGTCAGCGGTCGGACCTCGTAGCTCAGTTGGTAGAGCATCTCGCCCTAAACCCGGTGGTCTCCGGTTCGAATCCGACTGCGGTCCAAATCTTCACTTCATCTTCAATCAACACCCAGTATAAATCATGTAGTGATGTAAATTCCATATCCAACAGTTCTCTAGCTATACTGACGTATTTTTTAGAGAATTTTCCAACAATAGTTTAGTAAAACTAGGATGATCAGTAGTGAAATCTAGGATACATGTTTCATCCAATTTATGACTTATCAGCTGGATGCAGATGCACCCGGGTGAGTAATATTGTTCTCAGAGAGACTCGAATCCAGCACCCATTGCTTCAAACATCAAGGTTATGTTCTCTTACTCCACTGCAATATTTCTAGTTCATAGACTATAATCATTATCCACATGGAAAACACATTTTAATGTAACGTTTTTATTAGTCTCTACCAGTGTTTTTTTTCTTTTAGCTATTCTAAGTAGGAAAAATATTTTGTGCCAATCAAAAGATATATATATCTGAAGTATGGGACAGAGAATAATCAGACGACACTTGGGTGTTTCCAATGCCCCCTTAGGTAAGTACAATGAATACACGTACATTCACATATACAACAAGCTATACACATAGATAGACACTTGTTGACCTAATAACACACAGTCATCTAAACTAATGTGGGACAGTTTCTACATATACACATATATATAACATGTACACACGTACATCTATGTATACATAGTGGGTATAAGTCTGTTGGGAATATTGTTTTTCTGTGAGAGAATGTAAGATTTTACATACAACATATAGCGTGTTACTTTGATAACCAATACAGAATTAATAAACTTGACATGTATTGGTGACACTCAATCAGTTCACTATCGTTTTTCACTGATTCTCTTCGACTGAGATAAAAAACAACTGAAAAAAAACGAGTAGACAATATCTTGATAATATCAGGGATTGAATGAAATCAGGCAAAGAATTAAATATCGTGGAACACATGGACTTTCTATATAATTTTAGCAATTCTATGAAAAATATTCATTCTCTTGTTTTTACAAATATCAATAAATTCTGATTGAATTGGCGAAAAATCAAGTAAGTATTGCAAGTGGTTTCATGCGATATGTTGCATCATATTATTATTTTTATTATTAGTCCCTTGGGTTCCTAATGGAACATAGGGCTTCAGTAGCACATCTCCAGTGAACTCTGTTCTCTGGAATCTTTTGAACCTGGCTCAACGACTGCCTACAACCTCTCATTTCTTCCTCGCACGATCTCCTCCATGTCACCCTCGGACGTCCAACTCGTCGCTTCCCATGGGGGTTCCACTCGAGCAACTGACCTGACGCGTGATGTCCCAGTCGGACTTCTCAGTGTATGCCCAATCCATCTCCACTCCCTTCTGCATATTTGTTGAGTGATAGGTTCTTGGTTGGTTCGTTCCCAGAGCACCTTGTTGCTTATTCTTTCTGTCCGTCTGATCTTCAGTAACGAGCGTAGGTGGCAGTTGTTGATGAATGTCTGTAGTTTATTGGAAATGCCTTTCGTGACGCGCCAAGTCTCTCAACCATACAGAAGCACTGACTTGATGTTGGTGTTGAAAATGCGGATCTTGTTCCACACACTGAGCGGAGTGCAGAAGATCTCCACACTGGATATATATATATATATATATATATATATATATATATATATATATATATATATATATATATATACCTATTTCCAATGACACTGTATGAGATAATCATAGTTTGGCGGACTGTAGATCACTGATACCAGTTGACGGTCGAAGGTAAAATGAAAGTTTGGGTTACCGACCTGGTAACCCAGTAAGGTTATCGGTTCCAATTCCAATACAATCACCATATGATCCTATGATTTTAATTCAGTAAACTAATTTTACCCTAGTTGATTTATTAGAATTATCACTCAGGATTACGTTTCTGATACAATATATTATCCATAGTCATATCGAAATAACTACACAACTTTGAGATACCCTTTATATAGTCCTAATTTCTTCACCCCTTTTGTGATATGGGTAGTAAGATTTTCTATATATCCGGAACAGGTTTCTGAGTCATTCTTGTTGCTTGTATGAGGTCCTGATTCGATAAACAAAGATTCAGTTATTATTCTTTCCCTTCACCTCTATAAGTTAGTCTTTAAGGACTCCCACCCTGTTGCATCCTAATATGTAGTTGTCTGTGATTGCATGCATAGCTATTGCCGAGTTTTTTTCTAAATTCCTTATTTTACTAAGAGTTACCTATTTTAACTTAGCTAGATTTTTGTTCTCGAATAGCCTAATTGTTCCTGATCGTCTACTTTGACCAGTGTATTTGATCTCGTAATCATTACAAGGGATTTGATAAACTATGTTATTCTGCCTAATTAGATCAGTAGAATCTAAGTGAGTTTGTAGGTTCAAATGACTCTGTAATCCCAGCCTTATTGAGAATCCAGTGTAATGTCTCTAAGTGTCTTCCTTGTATAGTAATACTGTAGGCATTTTAGATTCCTTCTTCATAGTATCGCCCCTATCATTATTAATAACATATTATTACTATTATTAACACCTGTGTTACCAATATTAGCCATACTTTTCTTATGATTACTCAGGAGTTTATTAATTAATTTAGGAGGGCAATTACTTATGAGTAAGATGTCTTTAATGTATTAGATTTTTTGTTTCAGATCCTATGTTTTCCTAGTTAGCTTTTTGGCTCTGTTACTTAGATATTTTACAGAGCCTACTTTAACTGACTTAAGGTAAGATTATTCGAAGTGTAAGTAAGAATTCAAGTGTGAAGGTTTTCTATAGACACTGATGTCTAAACTTCTATCTTGTTTTCATTCTATTCTGCAGTCCAACGTAGCTAATTCCGTTTCACCATTTCCCAATTCATAGGAGAATTGGATTCCGCTGATTCATGAATTCATGTATGTGTGTGTGTGCTCGGATTTCAACACTGTAAACATGTCATCTACATATGGAAACCATACTTTTGGAACAGGACCAACTGTTTCGACAGCCATCCGTTCCGGACTATCCATAGATATGTCTGCCATGATAGAGGATATTGGTGACCCTATGACAACTCCTTATATCTACTTGTTTATTTTATTCTGAAGCTTAAAGATTGTAAAAGGCCGATGTAACTGTACTCTTAACATGATCTCCTGTACAGGTACGTTAGTTCTTAGCGTAAGCTCATGGTCATTATTTAGATTTTTTCGAACTGTATCCAGATGCATATGGATTGGAACATTAGTACATAAACTGGTTACATCGAAAATGGCGGATTTTTCAGTGTTATTCAGATATAACCCCTGTAATCTATGCTTATATACATAAGCCTAGATTTAGAAGTTTCTTACTCGACCTACTAAAAACGCTAAATATTTAGATAACTCACAAGTAAGTGAGTAAGTGAGTCAGTAATGGTTGTGAGATCGTCGGCATAGGTTGAAATAGCCCATATGGGGTCAGTTGGGATTTCGCAGAGCATAGCTTTAGCGAAATATCAAACGATGGGTCCCAGTTAGGTAAGCGGTCTAGAAGAAAATTCGACTACTGTCAGATCTACAGTGACCCACGTTCATACTATAGGTCGGTACAGGAAGACATATCTAGAATCAAATACAACCAGATTAAGAGGGGGAAAGAGATGCAGGAGGTTTGTGCAAACATCCACCGATCCAAGTTGCATCACCACTCGACAATATCGCTATGCTAGAAGTTGAAGTAAGCGCCAAACAACAATATTAGATGTCAGTATCTAAACTCTGTAGCACTTAGATTACACGTAAATATTCATTCTTACTTCATAATATCACTTAAAGGGGACTAACTAAAACTATGGGATACAGTCCCCTTCCAACTTTACCAAACCACGAATATCTCAGATAGTCAAACCGATAATCATTTCAATTCAAGGGGGATTTAGATTGAGATAAGGAGACCTGAGATGGCAGACAGTGTCAGTAAGGTCAAGCGGCAGTAAAGCGTAGCGAATTCCCATCACAGTCGAGCAAAACTCTTGATGATTGAAGCGGAATTAACATCTGGTCATTATCCTGCGTCATATATTTCAATAGCGTTCAATTTCAAATCTTAATATCACGAAACAAACTTGTGTATTCATAATACATAGAAGAACAATAGAGTATGCTAACTTGTAGATAGGCATCATGCTTCAGTTTTCCCTAGTCTGAACCTCAATGCGGACCGATCAGAATGATGAATTTAGTAAATAATTCAGTGTAGAAACAAACTTTCTGGTTGCATTGTGTTCTCTGAGCTGGGTTGTTTAATCATGTTTTGGATTTCGATGGGTGTGTATAGTGCTGTGACATCGAAGCATACCATTGCTTCGTCGTTTTCTATGCTAATGCTTTTGATCTTTCTAAGAATTCAGTTGATGACTTGATGGGATGTCCGCATGACTGAGTGAGGAGTTTCAGTTTTCTCAAAAGTTCTACTGGTATGTTGTACCTTAAAGTTCCCGGAAGTGTGACCATTGGTCGTAGAGTGATGTCTCATTTGTGTACTTTTGGTCTACCATGGTACTGAGGAAGGACAGGTTCATTCGATTTCATTCTCCATTTGTCTTGCTTTATTATTTCTTCTACTTTGAAGAGTTTGTTCAAGGTTTTATCGATCTAGTTGCCGAACTTTTGGATAGGGTTTGTTTCAAGTGGTTGATATATATTTCGTCTATGAGCAGTTCCTCTGCCTTCATGATGCAGTCTTCTTTGTTTATGACTACCGTAGTGCGTTCTTTATCTGCTGGAAGTACAACGATATCTTTCCTATTTTTCAATCTTTTTAATATTTTCTGTTCTTGAGTGTTTATTTGAGCGTGATGTCTCTTCTGCCTGGTCAGTAGTACGATTGTTTTCCGTATATCTTGTTGAGTGATCTCATTTAATCCTTATGTTTTAGATGACGATTCTAATGCCGCAAAGAATTCTGGTTTCTAGGCATCTCTTGTGTTGCAATCTAATCCTTTTTGAAGAAGTTCCTCCATTTTTGTTAGTGGTTGTAGGTGCTTCTGAGATTTTGAGTAGCTTTTTCTTGAGGACTTCTCTTCGTTGTTCTTTGTATCGTCTAATTGACTTTTCAAATGCAGTTGTCGATGTTGCCATGTGTTGCGACGTGAGTATGCTATCTAGTTTTCTCTTTTGATCGTTAATCACGAATTGATATTTCTGGATACGATGATGTGCATCTGTGATCACCAATTGTACCATTTATCTTCCACTTTGTTCATCTATTTTCCAGCCCATTGGATAGTTAATCGGTGGTCTATATTTGACACTCTTCGGCAGAACATGCTGATGTAGGCACTCATAGAGTAAGAGGAGTATTTCTCTAATGGAAGCTTGCCTTTTGGAGAAGTCCTCTCATCTTTGAACAACGTGAGCTCAGAGAACACAATACAACCAAGACCATCCACCTGAGCTACAAATATTCTCCACTATTTCATAAACGAACTTCTCAATTTCAGCATATTCATAGACAGAAACACTTAGGTCCAATCAAAATTTGAGAAGGCTTATCTATGAATATCCTCTGTCCTTTGTATCATCCATTACACATCAAACATTGTTGTTAAAAACTCTTTCCACTATGACTTATTCGACTCAAGGTGTTTATTGACTAGAGTTAATCACAAGTGATCTAGAAAAGTTGAGTTCAAAGGTATTTGAGTGAACAAAGAATATTCTTTTCGATAGCTTGTTCTTCGCGTCCAACAGTTGTACGTACACACTGAGGAATTATGTATCAGCAATAGTTAGATTTCGTTTAATAGTCTTGTTTGAAAGCTAATGGTAGAATCAACCAATACTGAAATCCAGTCCAAAATAGTCAATTATCTAAATGATTACTCGACGTCGATAATACTCCTGTAAGGTGATAGTTTAGTAAAACAATAGGAAGGTGTTTATGAGCGTTGGATCTAATGAACAAAGAAAGGTAGCTCGACAGAATATTACTCATGTTGGGAAACAAAGTAAGTTAGTAGAATGTACTAAAGTTGCTTCAGATTATAAGGATGAGAGGATATCTACAGTCTGGAGTT